TCCCCTGCCGCCTCATCCTCCATCACGGACCTGTAATCACTTAACAGGGGAAGCAGGGATCGAGCTGGTGCGACAAACATTGAATCTCTCGAGAACACTCCTGATGTAACTCTCTTGAGACATCTCAATCGTACCAGCCTTGCGGTCGCGAACGAATGCGCAACCAAGAAAGAACTTGACCTCGCCCAAATTCTTCGTGGGGGGAGAGTCACCTAGCGGTTCCACAACCATCTTGGCAAGCCTCTCAATTCCTGCATACAGAATGTCATCCACATGAATCGCAATCATACCCAACACCTCGTCTCCCATCATGAAACGAAGAACGCAGGGGTCAGACAGAGACTGTTCGAAACCAATCCTCTTCAGGTCCGACACAAGTCTCTTGTGAAATGTTCTAGATGCCTGTCTCAGTCCAAACTCTTGTCTAAACGGACTACCTTTCCTGTCATCGACTCACAGCCAGGAGGCAACTTCATGAACACCTCGTGATCCAATTCCGACTGAACAAACGCTTGCTCAATGTTAAAGTGAAGAAATTCCAAATCATACTTGCACGCCAATGCTACACCAACAAACGAATCGATGCAGCATTTGCAGTAGGCGAGAAAGTCTCAAGATAATCCACACCATGCTTCTGCTTGAAGCCCTTCGCTACAAGCCTAGCCTTGGCCTTCACTATCTTGCCTGTTTCATCTGCTTTCCATTTGTAGACCCATCTAGCATCTATCACGTTACAGCCTATCGGAGCCTTTACTGCTAACGCAAACGTTCCTGCTCTTAACAAGCCTTCAAATTCTACAGACATGGCTTCGTCCCAAATCGTGGAATACTTTGATTGGCGGGCTTCTTGATAGCTACCCGGTTCTGACTCTACATCTAATTAGTACTTTCGGCAATTCCATTGCATCAGATGCTCTCTGTTCGACTAAGAGTGCCAATATTATTTCTGATGCGGAGATGGGTCCTAGAGTGGCCATGAGGCCGGGTACGCTCTGCTGATTTACTGCCCGAGTTTCCGCACGGGTTCTGCCTTCTCTGACCTCAACATTCTCATTCATAGCAGTGTTGTAACTAGCAAGCTCATGCCGCGCACGACGATTGGATGGTACGTGCGTAGCAGGGGGAAATGCCTCCGATTGTACCTCCTGCCCTCCCGGCTCAACCAACTCTTCATCCAAACCTTCCTGACTCTCCGACTCTACCTCCTGCCCTCCCGGACCCGCCGATTCTGTCTGCCCTGTCTCCGGCCCTCCCTGCCCTCCCTCATCGGAGAACTCGTCTGCTGGAGAAGACACAGGGGGAGCTGCGCTACTAGGGGAATTAATCGCGGGCGAAGATGGCATAGAGGGGGGTTGACCTACACTGCCTGCATCAACACTGCCAACCTCATCGATTGTTCCACCAGAGATATCACGTCGCAAAAGAATGTGGGGAACTCCTCTCCCTAAAAGCGGCCACACCTCAGCTTCTATATCGTCGTCACGTTCCTCCCCTCCCTGCTCTGCAACCTCTATCGGCAAGAGAGACGGTTGCGGTGGAGGGAGCTGTGACGGCAACGCTTCCCATGTCACATTCCTCGTTTCCTGAATAGTTCCAGCCCTCGTAAGTACTCTATGACAGTCACGCGGGTGGTCTCTCGAAGGACCGACATAAAAGCAAGCCTCACCCTTCGGTAGCAGCTTAGACGGACGCTGCCACCTACAGTACGCCGGTTTCAAAAACGGATACGGTCTAGCATGACTAGCTTCACCATGCCACATCTCATACGGTGACTTACTGTCGGGGTTAGCGGAACAAGCTGTGTGGTTAATTGCTTCGCAAGCCCAATGCATCGCCTCAGCCCATAGTCTATCAGTCTTTGGTAATTGCACATGCCCAAACAAAAATTTTGCCTGAATACGAGCAGCCATTGCCGCCGCCTCAATCAATCCCAAACCACGCTCTGCAACACCGTTGTATTGGGGACTGTAAGCCGGGGTGAACTCTTGCTTAATCAAGAGCTCGTTGCACACGGACGCAAATTCTCCTCCGAAAACCTCCCACCCATTGTCAGATCTAACAATCTCAACCAATGATGGGATACCATCAGCACAAACACTTGCAAGGAAACTCCGGAAAGCACTCGCAGCGTCTGATTTACTTTTCAGGAAATACATCCATGTACGTCTTGTGAAATCATCCTTCACTATCATGGGGTAATGTTTACCCCCTACGGACGCAACGTCCTTCCGCCCTCCCAGGTCAACAAAAACTCTGCCCAACTTTTTGTCTGATCTGCATTTTGTTTCATGAGCAATCCCTTTCTTGAATGCCTTCGACATCGAACATCCCGTACAAGCATGCATTTTACCGGTCAACTCGATACCTAGTCGCTTTGCAGTTGTACGAAGCAATCCCTCATGCGAATGAGCATAAATGTTATGAAACTCGTTCACATCCATCTTAGATTCATGCTTGGGGTTCGAAGGAGTGAGGGCAGTTAACACCGAACCAACAGATTTATCTTCAAGACGATACGCAGTCTTAATTAGCATGCCATCGAAGCTCTGAAAAATAGTATGTCCGTCGAAAACAGTCATCACACCATCAGGACCACCAAGCAAGGTAATTCCATGACTCACCACCAATCTGCGCTGGGAGAAAAGAGGTGATATCCCCCCAAGTTGGGAGAATACAATACATGCTCCAACTCTACAGAAACTCAAATCAGCAGTCACAAACACCAACTCCAAGGTTCCAGACAGTGCTCTGGCTCAAGGGTAGAAAGTGATCTTTCAACACTCGAAATGCCTTGCTGGGGAAACCTGCATGCCTAGCCATGGTTTTGAGAGAGTTCTTCAAACAGTCGAACAAAATCCACCTTGATATCTCAGTCTGGCACAGCACACCCATGTATGTTGTATCCTTCCTCTACCCAGGGGGTCAGATCGAATTCAATGCTTGCAATCGAAATCTCTACATGTAGCACAGAAACAAAAGCCTCATACAGATTATTGTTGTGGGCACTCAGTAGAAACAATTGTGACCACGACGGATATGACACGTCCGTCCCGTCAAAAACAGAAGCTTTGGGAACTTTGAAAAGGACTCCTACCCAAGTTTTCTCCTGTGTTATTATTGCCGACCCCAGGAATATATGTGTTTCCACTGGCGACACATCCCCACCACTCACTCGATGGAGTAGATGGGGGCGGAATGGAAGACTGGCTACCTAAAGCCCCACTAACCATTCCCGGAATGGAAGACTGACTACCTAAAGTCCCACTAACCATTCCCGAACCGAAAGACTGGCTACTACCCGAAGCCCCACTAACAGTTCCAATCGAACCAAAGCTTGCAGCACCAGCAGAGGGACGATTTACAGCAGATGCATGAGGGTTCAAGTCTGAGTCTAGAAGACTACTACTCCCAACTCTCACGCTGGACATGCCAAGGACTTGGGCACTGCTGCCCTTACCTCCCGCAGTCCTGCCAGTAGCATCTACAGGATGCCAACCGGCGTCGGTTCCGCCGCTGGCTCTACCACCAGCAGAGGAACGACAAACAACAATTGCACGAAGGTTCAAGCCTGAGTCTGCAAGACTACTACTCCCAACCCACATGCTGGACATGCCAAAGCCTTGGACACTACTGTCCGTACCTCCCACAGCAGTCCTGCCAGTGACATCCGATTGATGCACACCAGCATACTCTGTTCCGCCGCTTCCCGGCGCAGCAGCAAATGAAAAATGAAACAGAGGACTCCACCTGATCACCTCGTTGCCCAACAAGCGACTTGATTATGCTCGTGAGCTGGGACAACAGTGTCTCAATCGAATCCAGTCTCTCACCACTAATAACATCCTGCGAATCACCCGGAGGTGGGTAATCCACATGATCCCCAGCAGGCCCACTCATCACGAAGCAAGGTGATCAATCTTCCTCCGTTCAGTCTTGACGTACAGTCCAAGGGGACAAGCAGCAGTCGACTGGTTCGCTATAGCGTGTTGGTAAACTCGTGGCTTCTGGGGAAAAGATGTTGTATTGATGAGACCTTGGACCAGGAGAACAGGTCAAAAGGTGGAGTGAGCAAGGGTGGGGCGAGCACCGCAGCGCCGCAGCACCACCCGTCGCTCGACCAACGGACGAAAGCAGAACACAATATCGGAACACAATAATATCGGAACACAACGACTCAACAGGGGCCAACGTACTTCACAACGTACCATGAATCCTCTGGTTGATGCACTATCCATAAAGAACACACTCGGGGAAATGCACCATCCACGAGGAGCATTCCTACAGAACGTTCCTTGCTGTTCTGATAATATGTGGCTACTCAGCGATCTGCAACATCGACAGTCCCTCAATTCAAACTGTCCAATCATATTGTGCTACGTTACTCTGTCGACACACACAGCAGCAACTATCACGAACAGTCTCAAGCCGGAACGTTCGGGCGGTCGAGGATGGCAGGGTCGGAAGGAGCTTCGTGAAAACCTTGGCCTCTTTGTTATATCTATATCTTCTTGCCAATATTCCACTTGGACAGAACTGCACGCGAACATATTTTTCCCGGGGGACCCATGCGAAACAACGTCCTCGGGAGGACTTCACCCACACGCATATTTGACGCCCTGCAAGGCAAACACACCCTCACCACAAAGATTCATTCGACTGCGCGGTCAAACAGAGACAGCTGCCGTGGCATACGTGGACTACGGGGCACACACGAAAATAGGACAGATACGTCCTGGTAGACGCGAAATCTACACCTCTCAAATACCACCAATACCCACCAACCGAAAGGTCTACCCGTTAGTGGCCTTCTCAAGGCCAACACTCGGGGCGAGGGAACGAAATCCTCAACTGGGCAAAGCTCAACACCCCTCCCTTGCAGTTGAGCCTGTTCATAGAAGGCTACATGCGAACTTCAGAACTACAGAATAGGTCCAATCACCAAGGCGATCTTTATCCGATACTATCCTCCTCCGAGCGTATTCTCGACGTCCAAACCAAGGACAAATTTAAGTCAGATTCGCAACATATTCTACATAGGAGGCGCTTGCACGGGCCGAGTACCACAAAGCTAGACAACGAACACCCGCGGCCGTAATACGTTTAAACTGCGACCCGAACCGAGCGCGTGCCGCCCTCAACATATCGCAATCGGCAGATAGGATTTGCCGAAGAGAAACTCGTTCATCGCCTTGGGAAAATCTTTCATCGCGACAAAAAACATAAAACTGATCCAGGCAGACAAGCATTCGCATAACTTCTGTGCACGTTTGCTTCAGCGCTCCGGATCTATAAACCTCAACGAGCAGTCAACCAAAAATGAAACTCGAAAGAAAATACACTGGAAGCTCACTTCCGGAACAAACATGACTTGAACACACATGAGATGAAGAGCGTACGGGAGCGCCGGCCTTGGCCGCCTTTACCACGACCCTGTTTTGCCAGGAAAGTACATTTGTCCTAGTGTGCTTTTCCGCCGAGTGTCAAGAACATGGCTCAACCCTGCGGTGCTCGTCCCATTGCATCCCAATCATTATCAGTACTATACCCTGCTCGAATCTGGCAGTTGCGACGCCAGTTTCGATATCGATGGACGAGACAGTTTTCACAAGTCTCCAGAGGATCGTAGCCAGAGAGTCTACTCAAACTACCCACACTATCAGTACCACTCCACCGCCGCTGATGTATGCCTGAAGTGGTGAAAAGTGGCAGAGCTGAAACATATTCACAATAATGGACAGACGTTCGACCCCGGCGCGTGGCAAGAATCAATCACATGAAAATACATCCACCTCAGAACCTAACAGGCCCCGCCGTAACTAGCTTCAGTTCTCAAGAGAGGGTAGTGTAGTCCCGGGGCCACCACACGAAAATACCGCCAGTATTTGGGTTGGAGCTTCAAATAACTGTTGGCACCGCTAACAATCAACCCAGGGCTTCCGGCAACGCTCAGGCGCAAAGGTCACGGCAACAGCCCACGGTCGGTTTGCGTTGTCCAAGAACTAATGAAGACGATGAAACTTTCACCCACAGTACGACATTGACTCACTCCGTCTCGGGCTACTCAATGGCCTCTGGATACTGATAGGCAACGGGGTACTGATGAGGAACGGGGGGCTCAGAAGCCGCGGGCGGCGTGTTGCCCATGGACCCAGAGCCGCTAGCGACATCGTCATGAGAAGGCTTCCGTTGTTTCCCGGTTCGCTTGATCTTCAGGCGACCAGTCTTGAACAGGGCAGCAAGGACGATGGCCACGACCACCACCACGCCCGCCACCACCCCTCCAGCCACTTCTCCCGCTGGAGCTGCTGGTTTCGCCGGGACAGATAAATCGAGATAAAATCATTCGACAACGAAGGCTAGAGGTCGGGTGTGTATCTCCCCGTGCCGCTCCTACGTCGCGTTGTTGCCTACCACACAACGAGAGCCTGTCTGTGTGAATTGGTTGCAAATTCCTGCAAACATTGTAACACAAAAGACAGAAACGTGTGTGGCCCCTACAGGTGTGCTCCGCCGTGGTGCTCGCGACTTGCACGAGACCTTCGTTCTTTTTGGGCGCTACAGGAGAGAAGAGAGATAACATTAGCGGGGAGGTGCATTTCGGTTCCACATGTTGTCGTGTGCCGAGATATTTTAGATGCGTCTCGTTTCTCTCAACGCCATACGTCACGGATTTCGGGGTTTTGCATTGACCTTTGTATTTGGTGCGCGAACCACAAACAATAGGGAATAGCGACATCGACAAAAGAAGAGAGTGCACGCGGCCCTTTTCCGAACAATACCACATGGGCCTAGACTCGAGTTTACGAAGAAGATCAAAATATAAACAAGAACACGATATTGTGCGACCGATGGTAGATTCGTCACATTCGAGGAAAGAAGGCAGAAGAAGATAGTAAGGGGAACAAGCGAACCAGCGCTCATACCAATGGATGAATTCAAACAAAAAACATTCGAAGGTCTTCCAAGACGGACACATCGACAAAAATCTCTATCATTTGTATGTCTTACAGTTTACATCTTCATTCCCAAATCCGCGCCTACCTTCATCCGAGGTGGTGCTCACTGGAGGCGGGGTAGATACAACTTCAGGAGCACGAGTAGGAGAAGAAGTATCCATAAGAGTACGCGGTGCCGGCGTCAAACCATTAGGGGTAGGCCCGGGGGTTGCAGTAAGGCCCGGAGTGGCAGGGGCTGCAGTAGGGGCCGGAGTGGTAGGGGCTGCAGTAGGGGCCGGAGTGTTGCAGCCGCAGATGGTTGATATTGTGGCGGAGAAGTCTGTATACCCGCCATCATCGTCCTCGCAAGCCCAGTATAACACTTCCGTGGGGTGCAGCGTAGTATAATCGTTCAGGTCGTAGTCTATACACCTCGTATTGAATGTATCGTCCAAATAAGTGGCGATTACCCACACCTGGAGACAAGCAAGAGGTCGTTCGAAATTGAGAGCGTCCGCATGAGGAAGAGAAAGACAACCAACACCTGCCACATCGCCTTGACGCACTGTAGCTGTTCGCCACGCCAACGCAAGGAAGCATTCAATACACATGGATAGCCAACCACGCACTCTTGTGCAAATGGAACCAACGTACTCCAATTTTTTGTATCGGTACTGACACAGTATATTATTGTACAACCGAACAACAAGTGCTGCGAAAGCTGCCCAGAATCTCTACATCATCGTCGATAGACAGCCTAGCAGTTGAACGCGGCCAGGCGGGAGTACAACCAAAAAATGTTATTGGCACAGATGGGTACCTGACTGCAGATCTAGGGCTGTTTGGTTGCCAGTGGTATCGCTCCATATTTTCGGCTATCTCCACCATCAACGATAAGTATTTGCTGCACATACGATTAGACAAAAGCAATAGTAATAGTGAGATCTGCCTACCGAGTACCACCGGCGGGCGCTCCGATCTCAACCGGTCCAAATGTTTTTTACAGGGCGAAAACGAATCAACAGCGATAAGCGGGATCGCTCCCACCCTATTGCCACATGGGTACCCACGATTCGATTCCCAAGGCAGGCGCAAGTAAACAGGGTACAACGCTAAACCAGATACATCTAGAAACACGTCCCACACCACTGTGAATGACACCGACCCATCGACCTGCGGGAATGTACAGATTCTCTACTGGCACCTCACTCACCTCATCATCGTCGAACTCGTATGTCCGGAAGAAATATTCGTAATCGGAGAGACCACCGTCTGAGTAAAAAGCACTCACAGCTTCCCCACTTTCTACGGGAGAGTTGATGGACTCTTGGTAGCAACCGTCCGGGCTCGAGACCTCGCCGTAGTCTTCGAAAACGTAGTCGATGTCAGCCTCGAGACGGAAAGAATCCGTGTACGAGCACGACGTCATGTGTGAAGATGAGATCGTCCAGCGGGACAAGGTGGCTCTTGAACAAACACTCTTATGTTTTGATTGCCGACAACCTGCGACACAATATATGTGCATGTGACACGTGCGCGCGGGTTTGTGTGTCGGGGGCAAGGTGGGGAGCCAGGTTGGGAAGGCTAGAACCCACACGACAGATGGGTAATATTCGTGAGACGACGTCATCATTGCCACGATATACATTAGGGCCGACAGACAATTGTCGAGTTCTCCCCCCGCCTCCCATACGTATACGTGATAAAATCTGGCTGGAAAAGTCAGAATCAGTACTGTACGTAGACTCAGTCCACGACACAACACCAAGCGAAGGCTAAATGGCTTCGTCGGTCTGCCCAACTCTAGCCGGAAGAGTCCAGCACGCGAAACAACAAGCAGAGTTCACCAATCCAGGACAATAAAAAAAAACATCTCCCGATTCCCGTACGGCATGGTCTCGCTACACTGCCAGTCACTCAAGTCAAAACATATGCATCCATGTACTTGCCGCTATCGTTGTTATTTCGTTGCCCATCGAAATCAATGACGTTCGTTTCCAGAAAGCAACCAGCATCTAGCCACCCGCAGGAGGGATAGCAGCAAGAAATTTTATTCGTCCCGCTCTATTGATAATAGCGACACAATACCCTTGATCGCCGCAGAACGTTGCTAGATAAATGCACGCTGCTTGCAGACGCGTACCTACGTAGTATCTCTGGGAGCCACACCCAACCTGGTATTGGCCTTGTCTTCCGGCTTGAAAATTGCCAAAACAATTGCAGTGGTAACACTAAGTGGTTTGCTCGAGATCGTGATCATGACCCTTTCATGACCCAATGATCGACCCAGTCATGACCAGGTCATCATCCTATCATGACTGGGTCACCACGCTTCATGACTTCGGCCATGACCCCATCATGATCGGATCATGACCGGGTCACGACTTTGTCTGTTGTTTCTCACTTTTGCAGGAATTTCTGCCTTGCTATCGGATAATGACCGGGTCATGATCCAGACACGATGGCGTTATGTCGAGTTGTGATCGTGTTATGACCGGGTCACGATGAGTGGACCTTTACCGAGACATGATTACGCCATCACCCTATCGTGTGACCCAATCATGACCCGATGGTCTGTCTCGATTTATCGCATCAACGCTAAATTGGCACCTGTACTGTGCCGGCTAGGATTTTTCACATCAATGCCAACCAAGCACCTATCGTATGGGTTTGGCATTTTGGGGTTAGGGGTAACGTTAGGGTTCTAAGTCAGTTTCATGCCCCTGCCACAAGCAGGGGATCGACTAAAGCACCGGAATTTCATTGATTGCAGATCGATTGGTTATTGGTTGAAGGTGTATAACACGATCTTGTTAAACGGCAGGGCAGGGGTGCGAGACTGGGAAGAACACAATTCCCATTCTAACTCCTGCATCGGGTGTTTTCGGCCTGTTATAGGGGATGGGTGGATGGTTTATGTGCACGCCCCTTCAAGGTGCATGAATGTTTTGACGAGACTAAGCAAAACAAGCCATGACCAGGCCATGACCAGGCCATGACCCGGTCGTGGCTTGGACGAAACTAACAACACAGGTCATGGTCGAGTCATGACGAGCTCACGACCCGGTCACTCGGCCATGGCCGGGTCATGACCTGGGCATGATTTCGGTCACAAGAAAGCCCAAGAACTTAAGAGCCCCGAAAGGGTTCGAATCCCTTGCATACTACTGTGAGCGGGTTGGGTATTCTCTTGATGTACTACGCACCCGGTTCGTGTGATCATGGCTTGGGGTGTCGCAAGAGAGGGCTCTAGCTCGCGCATAGAGTACCCGGACAATAACAGGGTTTTCCCCTTCAAGCCCCCTATGTTTCGTATAGGAATTAGGCTACCGGTACCCCCCCCCCCCCTGAAATATCCCACAAGTAAGCTTGGGTACATTGGTGTCGAAGAAAACATTTCGCGCATCCTTGGCGTGGAATATTTTTCACAACAAGACACGTAGTGAGCCCACCGATCGAAAATAAATCTGAGTCCCCGTTTGGAGGGAGGGGGGGTGTACGCATAGTCGTGCATGCCGTAGTTGTTTAGACCATTGACCTCGCATTCCTACAAAGCCGGGACGGAGCACGCCGGTACTCACCGGACCAGGCTCTCACATCACCAAGCGCGAAGCCCCTTGAGGTATTGGGTTAGTCGCATGAAGGGTGCGCTGCATCCTGCTAAGGGTGTTTGGCATCTTGTGCTTACCTACTTGCATACGGATGACAGCTGCGAATGACTTGTTATACTTTCTGGTACGTTCGCTTCCAGAGACACTTGTAAGCACTGTGAAGCTGCCTCGAGGATGCTTGACAAATTTAACGCAACTCTGTGCGATCATCCCCTTTGCGCGGAGTGAGAGTTCTCGACCCCGCACATCGACGCTCTACTCGACCACCATTCATGGAAACCGCAAAAAAAAAAACAGAGGCACAAAAAAACAACCGGTAACCTGGTTGCCGAGCTCACGAAGTGATCGGCTTGTTTTACAACATCGCTGCCAAGCGACGAAAACCCAACCCCGATGGCAAACACCGGGGGGGGCGGCTTGTTTTGCAACGCCGTTGTCACGCGACGAAAACCCAACCCCGATGTGAATATCGGGGGGCGGGGGGTTAGGGGAGGGGGGGGACATTCACACAGATATTCCTGGGTTTATGCCGAGGCGTTTTGCTGAAGGCGGGGACATGTTCCGAAAATCGCCGGGTAACATGGTGAGCGAGGCATTTTCGCTGAGGCTGCGGGTGCTGCTTCTCTCTGTATGTGTGAATGCAATCTGGGCTTGGAGACGCTCGAGAAGTGACGGAGACCACCCCTCGACCCATGCATACTTTGAAAATAACCTTGTGTAGCAGCCCTTAGTGGTCAACAGCAGCAGCGGCAGCAGTACAATCTACGGATTGCACGCTTGCATACACCCTCTCTCTTATCGTCGTGACGACACGTATTTTGTGCCTGCATACAAATGTAGTGTCGAAACAACAGAATACGACCGTCCGAAGGTCAACCAGACGCTCACCGAATGGCTCGTATCTTGTCGGTGATTCCATGAAACGTTTCGAGCTTGTATTAGTACCAGCTAGTATCACTGGAATGCCTCAGTTTATAGGCTTCAACAGACCCAAAATATGCCCAGTTTCAGCCCATTTCCCTCCATGTTATGGTATTTGGAGGATGGTATTTGGAGGTAGACAAGTGATCGCGGTTGATCATGGTTATTTGGCGCCGTCGGATGCTATGACGTGACGTCATGCTAGATCAGGGCTTTATGCCGAGACATGTGCCCTTCTGTTCAGTGTGTGCGTACAGGCGATCTAGATCGTGTGTGCGCGGGATATTGTGAGTTGGCTGGGAAAGCGTTAATCAAGGGAAGGGGAACAGGGGAAAGCAACAACACCCTTTATTGTGGTGGGCCAAGAGATTTTCACACAGTTAAAAGGGGATTGATTTGGAAGAGGGGGTCAAATACCATTACATCCACTCATGTCACGGAAAATGTTTCAGCACTTCCTTCCCTTTGGACGGGGGTTATATCACGAAGGGGTATTTTTTTTGTGTTATTTTTTAAAAATCCCCCCCCCCCGGGGGGGGGGGGGGGGGGGGGGGTGTACTCATAGTCGTGCATGCCGTAGTCGTTTGACCATTGACCTCGCATCCCTACAAAGCCGGGACGGAGCACGCCGGGTTCTCACCGGGCCAGGCTCTCACATCACCAAGCGCGAAGCGCCGTGAGGTATTTGGCGAGTCGCATGAAGGGTGAGCTGCATCCTGCTAAGGGTGTTCGGCATCTTGTGCTTACTTCCTTGCGTACGGATGACAGCTACGTATGACTTAATTTATTTTCTGGTGCTTTCACTTCCAGAGACAGTTGTAAGCGCTGTGTAACTGCCTCGAGGAAGCTTGACCATTTTAACACAACGTGGTGCGATCATCCCCCGTTGCGCGGAGTGAGGTTTCTCGACCCCGCACAACATGATCTACTCGACCACCATTATGGTTACCGCCAAAAAAAAAACCGAGGTAAAAAAAACAACCGGTAACCTGGTTGCCGAGTTCACGAAGTGAATTGGCTTGTTTTACAACGTCGTTGCCAAGCGACGAAAACCCAATCCCGATGGCAAACACCGAGTGGGGGGCTTGTTTTACAACATCGTTGCCAAGCGACGAAAACCCAAACCCCGATGGCAAACACCGGGGGGGGGGGCGGCTTGTTTTACAACGTCGTTGCCAAGCGACGAAAACCCAACCCCGATGGCAAACACCGGGGGGGGGGAGGGGGGGGGTATATCCCATCAAGTTTTCGTTCGTGCACCTGGCACACCCGTTTGCATGTCGTCCTTCCATTCTGTTTATCATTTAGACCGTTTGCGCAGAATGAGATATGGCTCTCATGACAACCAGTTCGGGGTACTAAAAGTTCCTCCGAAACAAAGAGATAGATTAAGTACGTACTAGAATCTGTGGTCTGTTGACAGAGGCGTTTTGGAATTCGAAAGAAGCAGGTATGTGGAGAAATTATAGAGCACCATGGGGTCAGAAAGTTTGTGTGTTCTCACTGAGCGAGAGGCAAGCCAACGCGTTCTTGAGAGAAGAGGCTTTAGATAGATAGCATCTTCGAGGAGCAGCAGACACGGGGTGCCTTCTAGGAGTTGATCGAAATTTTGTTCCTATATATATTTGGCCTCACTACTTGAGAAGAAGTTCAAAAACAACTTGTCGAAAATCGCGGTCTCTCCGGGGGGATCTCCCACACTTTTTTACAGTTTTCCCAAACGACCCATGGGACTCCCATGGGCAACAAAATGCCCACGGGTGGGTGACCCATGGGACACCCATGGGCATGCCTATGCCCATGGGCATGGGCAGCCCCATCGGCAGCATGGGCAGCCCCATCGGCAGCACATGGGAAGCACATGGGCGGCCAATGAGAGCCCTTCAACCGAACCAGTGTACTCCTCAACAATAGATTATCTGCTTCGGAACGGGCACTGCAGTATAACATTCAATAACCCTAACCCAAACCCTAACCCTAACCCTAACCCTAACCCCAAGCCCACACAATACGTGCCAGGTTGGCGCTGGTGGCTAAGTTCTAGGTTGATGTGAAGGTGGCTAAGTTCTAGGTTGATATGCCGGTGGCAAAGTTCTAGGTTGAAGTGCCCACGGTGGGCACTTCATGGGCCTCCCATGGGCGGCCCACGGTCGGCCCATGAAGAGCCCATAAAGAGCCCATGAGCGGCCCATGGGTGATCCATGGGAGTCCCGTGGGTCTTTCGGGAAAACTGTCAGTAGTGTGGGAGATTGCTCCCGGGGGTGGGGGGTGATTTGGCGGGGGACTCTAGTTTCTATCATCTTGGTTATAGTGTTCAGTAAAATGGGTAAAAAAAATAGTTCCCTCCAACTTGTCGGTCTCCTCTTTCGTGGCACACATACTGGAGCTCAATGCGCGTCTATTGACGTATTAACCCCCTCTGTTGGCCCCGGGGATGATGAGTTGTGGTCCCCCGAATCTTAACTTAACTTCCCCGCTTAGCTTAACTTTTTTAAGCGAAAAACCATGGGTCAAGTTAAGCGAGGTTCGACTGTATGTAATGTTATATTGACTGGCTCCATCAAACTCCGTTCTGGTTTCTGGTGCGAACAGTATGTGATTGCTGTGTGTCTTCCACCCACTCCCATCCTCATATCCCCGACGCACACAACGACTATTAGACCCTGACAAGCCATGTACGAAAGATTGACTGACGAAGTAAGGGAAATCTGCGTTTTGTGAGAAGCGGCAGAAATAAACCGTTGGCCAATCAGAAAGCAGGAAGCGGACGAGCGTGTTGGTTCCTGTTTTCAGTCTACTTGCTTCGCCGTGTTTACCGGGGGCGAGCGAGAGCACGTGTGTGTGCTTGTGGTGGCCAAGGGTTGTTTCTGCCGTGACGTTTTCTTTCTGTCTCCGGGGCGATATGGCTTTGAATCCAAATCTCGGAAAAGGGCCTGCCGATTGCTGCCGACGGGATTCGTACGTCGGTGGATGATTCCATCGCCGACGGCGGCGGCAGCAGCGGTGGTGGGCGGCGCCCCTCCCTCTGCTGCGGTGGCGGGCGCGGCTGCCGCAATGGCGTTGGCAGCCCAGCAGGACCAGCAGGGCCCGCCGCCGCAGCAACAGCAGCAGCCGCAGCAGCGGCCGCAGCAACTTCAACGTCAGCAACAAGACGCAACAGCTGGGGCCGCCGCCGCGGCGGGGTCGGCGGTCAGCGTGGTTGAGGCATGGTACAGCAGTGGCGGGCAAACGCACAGTTTGGCAACGAAAAGCGGAGCATCGCGTGTGTGTGGTCGCCAGCTTACCAACCATCGTCTGGGGTTACACTGCGCGCTGTGCGGCGGGAAAATCCACAGCAGTACCGGCCCTCAGCAACGCCGGTTCAACAACGCCGGTGGCCCTGTGTAGCGCAGGTGGAACTGCGGGGCACCGCCTGAATCATCAACCCATTCTGTACTTAGCACCGGAGTCTATTGAGGGCCCACTACTCACTAACTGCAGAAAACTTCGGTAGCGAACAACCAAAAACAGCAGTCCCATATGATTTGTGTGCTGAGCTTTTAGCTCGCGGGGAATCCTCATTCCGTCCTTGTCTCCCACCCCCCAGACTGAGTTGCGGAAAGGAAGCGGTTCGTGCCATTTCAGTGCGGGCTGCACCGCTACAATGTCCAAGACAAGGAAGAGTGATCACGGCACCAGGATGATTTGACGTGATGCCCAACAAACGAAAAAAGGAAGAGAAACATGTACAGAATGTATGCTACCTCTGCTGAAGGAATGCCGTGCCCAGCAATCTGCCCAGCATTTCGGTGTTGAGAGGCTCCCCGCACACTCTCACCTGGTCGACGCGTTCGGTATGCAGGCAGCGTGGACGTGCAGTCGGAAGCGAGAGGTAGGTGTGGAGGGTGGCAGCAGCAGTGATGATGTGTGCGAGTGGGGGGAAACGGCAGTCACCGACAGCGATAGACGGGAAGAGAAGAAAAAAATATATTCTTTGAACTTGCGTTGGGTGCGAGATGGTGCAGTGATTTCCTGATGATTCCCGTTTTTTTCTGGCTGGTTCTCGGGGAGTTGGCAGCAGGCGGCTTGATGGTTCGAACAAAAACGTCTGGGAAATCGTAGACATACTGGTACTTTCTGACGCTATGAATTCATTGCTAATCTGTCTCAGATTCTTTTCTATGATAGAGATGGATTCGTTGTGTCAAATTAAGAAGAAAAAAAAAAACGACGGTGCACACTTGCCCCCTCTCCCTCTCTCTCTCTCTTTCTCTGTCTTCTATCTCGGTACTCTCGCTTCCCTCTTAATCTCATCCTCCTCTGTACGTTCTTCTATCCTTTCCTTCCTTCCGGCCACCCTCTACTCCTCCTTTCTTTGCGTTCTCGTGCATGCTTCTCTTGCGGGCAAGGTCCATCTCACTCTCTTGAAAAAATTCGAACGTCGGCACATATTATATATAAAGATTGGAAATTTGGAAGAATATCTCGGGAAATACTTTTGTAGTAGACTACCGTATATGACACAAGATAACACACCCCGGTGATAACATTTTGGAGTTTGAAAATATTATCACCGGGTGTGGTATCCTGTGGGGGGTGTATTATCTTGTGTACCCCGCGTGATAAAGTGCAGCTCGCAGGGGCCCCTAAGGGGGTGTGATAAAACAGGGGGTGTGATAGCGCGTCCGAACACCCACAGCGTGTGTTTGGGGGCGTAGAGGTGTGCGCGGGCCCAAAGAAGGAGGTGATCTGCTGTGGCGCCTGCGCTGCTGCAGTCGAAGCAGTTGTCGAAGGAGCAGAGGTACTTGTGGCTGCATTCTGCTCTGCCTGCACGTTCATGTTGTTGGGGGTCTCACATGCGGGGTGTTTCCCCGCACACAGCTGACGTGGTTGTGTGTGTGATTGCCCAGGGCAGATGCTGTCACCCCGGTGATAAAGAGGGTATATGCGGCGTAACTAAAAATATCACTGGGGTGTGTTATCTTATGTACCCCCGGTGATAAATCGATGGTTTGTCAGAAGCGCCCAAAACTATCACCGGGGTGTCGTATTCTGTGGGGGTGTGATTTCTTATTGATGTAGGTGTGTTATCTTGTGTCATATACGGTATGTACTCTACCCCGTTCAAGATACAACCACAGTCGGAAAGGATGGTGCTCAAGTTTTTTCAGTGTGTACATCAAGGGAAACCGGCTGGAAGCTGGGCATCTCTTTTCAATCTCTTGTACTGCCTTCTACTTCTATTCCATTCCGGTGTATGCCCTGGTATATTTTCCTTGACATGCATCTGCCTACATACATACACGTGGAGGATCTGCAGTAGTAACCGTGCTGACAAAACGCAAGGTTGCATATGCATATTATTTTTTCTTGTCCTCGACTTCAAAAACATCCAATCCATGTATTGTTTCTCTGAGCGATTTTCTTGTAAACTTCCAAGTACATGAAGAAGAATCCCTTCCACGGCGGAGGCATCCGAACCCGGGTTTTCACATATATTTCATTGGTTTCAATACGACGCCCTTGGTCTCTCTTGTACCGTTCTTGTGTTGCGACAGTCCTCGGTTTCAACCTGGCGCCCTTGGTTCCATTTGCCCTTGGTAACGACTTCTTTTGCTAGGACCCCGCTGCTTTTCATTGGTTTCGAGTTCAGTTTAAATTCGTGTCGAATTGTTGTGGCCACCCCAGTACCAAGCATAAGCCTCATATAAACACAAAGACCACTGGTCCGAGAACGATGTCAATCTACATGATGCTCGCCACGCGGACCGAAAATATTCAAAATCGTTCTGTTAATGCAGAAACGATACGTCGGATCGGTGGGCCTGCCAGCTGCATGCAGGGGAATGGAACGGTTCTTGGTATCGTCTCGTTTGAGAAAACGAGCAAGCCGATGGTAAGACGTGCCGAGCAGCCTTCGCCCGGGATGGTGACGCCCATGAGACTTCACCGCGCAGGATGATGACGTCACGGGCGGACATGCTTGCCGGTCAGTGGCAACCACTGGCATGAAAAACCGCAACGCATCTCCATCTTGGAAACCGGAGCCATGAATCTCCTAATACTCGTCCGCGATCCGTCAATCGGTGTTCCTAACTTCGACGCTACTTGGGAGCCCGGGATATTCTTGTAATCCTCCGCTAAGCGTCAATCAAAAACCGTCAATCGGTATTCCACGATACCGCTGGAGCCAGGAGTCTCCTAGTGCTCCTCGGATTCGCCAAAATATCTCCACCTTCTTCGTATACAGCGTCAACACTACTCGAGCCCGGGATCTCCTAATACTCCTCCGCAAACCGTCAACCGGCATTCCATTTTCCGACACTTCAGTACTGGAGCAAGGAATCTCCCGGCCGTCAATCTCCTGATACTCCTCCGCAAACCGTCCACCGGCATTCCACTTTTCGACACCACTGGAGCCAGGAATCTGACGGTACTCCCACAAAGCCGTCAATCTGTCCTCGTGACGTCGGCACTGGAGCCGGAAGTTTACTAGAACTCGCGGTCCGGTTTGGTTACGCCGTGACGAGGTACTGCGACAGGTCGAGGCCGATTTCCTTCGCGACGGCCTCCGCCAGCTCTCTGGAAATGTTGCACCTGGCGCGACGCAACACGCGGGTGTTTGTGGAGGCACGCGGCAGGAAAAAAGGGTCGACATTCGACAGCAGGACGCCAACGGTTTGAAAACACGACGACGCACAGAGAAGGAGGAGGACAAAAATGGACACACCGTACACATCACCGCTCACGCCGGTTCAGTACTAGTCTACCGCAATTTCGCAAAAGACACCACACGCCCTGAACCTATATCAAGAGCTCGAGTGCTCTGTAAGCACAATCAGCAATCACGGTGCCGGCAACGGCGGGGTCGGAACTGCCAGTTCGTCGACTGTTGAGGCATCATTGTCGTCGAGGAGCTATCGATATTTCAGAAACAGTCAAAAAGGGAGGGCGTGGAAGCTCATGCAACCTACGGTACTGGGTATTCGATACAAGTCGTATCCCTTTCGGCGGCGCGGTCGTGAATTGTCGGGGTGCGCCCGATCAAGAGCATCACACCGCGACATGTAAGAGACGGCGGTGACTTGCTCGTACGAACGGGTAACGTTTGGCGTGCTTGAGAATGAGCGTGCGCCCCCAACCTTTGCACCGGGCGTGTGCCTTGAGTGCGCACAAGAAGGGTGACCAACCCGTTGCCGTGGGAGCTTTGCTTTCTTAGCCTGGCTGGACCACGACGAGACGCGCAGCAGAGGTCCTGTGGACGCATCAACTTACACCCAGAGCAAGGCGAGCGCATACCTGTAGCTCGGACAGTCCAGGTCAAAGCTCTTCCGCTGTCCGCAGTCTCTCATCAGGTTGAGCTTCGTCAACGACTTGATCTTTGTTTCCGAAAGAAGAGGACAGCAGGGAAGGGCGAGGGCAGCACAAACTAGGTTACTCTACTGTAATACGGCAGCCATTTCGCGACGGTGCCTGGGCGGAAAGTTGAATGAAACCGTGTATCATGAAGCATGAGGCGCAACACAAAGTTGGTGCACCGGTCGCTGGAAGTGCCTGCAGCCGGTGCTGGTCGAAGGAACCAAACACTTCGACTACTGCACTAGTCCAATCGGCGGAAAATATCAGCATATTTACCGTCTAAAATGGCATCCTCCCATACTGGCAGTAATGGACCCAAGGAACGGCTGATGGGGGGGCGCCTCAAGCGTCACGGGTTTCGCGGCCTCTCTCAAGTTCATTGTGAAAGTCCACGAAGAATTCGGTCAGACATATGGAAGTGAGTCAAGCGTAGCGTGCCGAAGTAGAGCTGCCGTGGTGTACAGCTCTCGATACATACTATCTCGCGGTGCACTGCGCACAACGATAGACGGGTTTGCCGCCCGCAGTCATCAAGCTATCGGTGACATAAAGCCGCATTCACGTGTATCGATGAATCCAGAACGAAAATTTGTCCCAGCGTAAACAGTTTCCGAATGCCAGGAGGATGGTTTTGGTATTCGCTTGCGCCAGATCTCTCTCTCTCTCTCTCTCTCTCTCTCTATGTATGTATATATATATATCCATCTATCTGTTATACCTACCCTTTCTGTAATTCTCGTTCTCGTCTCTCTCTGAATTTTACCTCTTCTAATCCTCGGAAGCATGGTTACAAGTGTTTGGCTACTAGAGGATTTGCGTCAAAACATGATGATACGCACATCACAAGCCCCTTCAAGCTGACGACGGAAACGTGGCACATTCCACCGTGTATCAACTCAATACCGTAGGTTGCACAAGATATCACAACCCCTGGACCGATTTTCAAAGCTCGACTTCTCCACGGCGAAGAGGATGCCGAAATTAAATTATGCGTTTTCGGAAAGCTTCCGACGAGACGGTTCCAACCCCACCGTTTTCGGCACCGTCACTGCTCTTCCTGCCGAATAATCGAGCTTCGAATACCGACCCAGGGGGGGTGATATCTTACGTCATGCCACCTACGGTAGATATTGTGTCCCCAAAACTGAAAAAAAAAATGCCAAAGACAAACACAAAACAGACCTATTTCCATTGAGAAGTTCTTAGCTTAGGAAGGCTCGAATTTGCTCCGTTTGGATAGAGACAGTCGATTTTTGGCGCATTTCTGGTATGTCCAATGCTCCAAAGCTGTTGCTGTTAGCGACTCCTCCGACCAGGTTGAGGACAAGGCTACAACGAGAAGCGAGGGTGTTGACGTTGCGCTGCTGCGAACGCCGCGGGCTCAGAGAAGCAGGATCCGTTGGTGCACGAGCACAGCCGATCCTCGCCGAAAGGACACCCTTGACCGGGGCATTTTTACTCGGCTAAGGACAACAAAGAATTTTCCCGCGAAGCAGATCCCCCCTCCGCAGATCTAACTGTGTATGATGAGGTTGTTGTTGTTATTGTCGTCGTCTTCACGTTGAAAGCCGTTCCGATCTCTCTGCTCTCTACTCAGTACCTTCTTCTGTCGGTACTAGTCTAACACTTGACCTGTGAGGTATGTTGGATATGATCCCACGGTCTCCCCCTCGGTTCTAGGTCCTGCGGACAAACACTTCCAAACATCGTGAAAGAAAACAACAATCGGTTGCCCCATCTCTCAAGCCCTCAAAAATCGTTTGGCTGATGAGCTGCGGAAAATCAGCACAAAATTTGTGTCCTTAAAATGAGAGAGCGGTCTGCTCATGATTGTGACTGGTGTACCTGCGCGAAGAGCTCCGTGCTTCCCATGCTGTTGGCGGCCTTGGTTCCCGCCTCGGTAACGGCCACGATGGACGACATGATCGACAAAAGCCTCTCTAGCTGGAACTCTCTCGCTTCCGGCAGGTCCTGCACCTGTTGTGGGGGGGGGGGGGGGGCCCAGGGGGATTGGGCCCGGAAAAAATTTTTTATAAGGGGGGGTCCCCCCGCCAAAAAAAAAAAAAATGGGAAAAAAAAAAAAAGGGGGGGAAAAATGACCACCAAGGAGGGGGGGGGAAAAAAAAAAGCGACAAAAAAAAAAAAAAACAAACGGAAACCGCGGAAAAAAAAAAAAAAAGGTACGGGGAGGGGGGGGAAAAATGCCCCCTTTTTGACCCCCAACCCCCCTGGGGGCCCCAATTTTTAAAAAACCTTGAAGGGTTCCGCGATCCCCGAAAAAAAAACCTGAAAAAAAGCAATCAAAGAAAAAACATGCCCCTTCCATTTAAATTTGGGGGGCATTCCAAAACAAAAATGTCTTTTTTTGCCCATAAAAAACAACT